CTCTGGCATTGCCTGAGAAGCATCTGCATGGACGCTGGCACTTGAAGCTACAAAATGGACCTGCCTGGGCCGGAATTCTCTGTTCAGGGCTTGCCCCTCTGCACCCAGAGTCCTTGGGTGGCTTAGTCTCTGCCCCCACTGTCAGGCCGCTCTGGTGGAATCCGTTGCTAAGCAGCCACTTGGGTTCACCCCACCTTCCCGCCCTCCCTGATTCATCTAAGTCCTACCCGTCCCCCCATGCCCCATCTGGACTCTGCCCGCCTTTCTCCCTGGCTCTTCCACACCAGTCCTTCCTTCTCCACAGCCACCAGAGGGATTTTTCTAAATGCAGATCTGATTGCATCACTTTTGCTTAGACTCTTCCTGCCCCTCATGTGGGATGCCTGCCTCTCATCCCACCCGCAGACCCTCAGCACTGCCTGCCCGAGGTCCCCAACTTGCCATTGCCCATTCTTGCCTCTGTGCCTTTCCTTCCGTGGGTGTACATCCCCACCTCCACACCAGGCCAACCCCATCCCTCTAGACCTGGGGACCACTGCCCCACCTGCAGCGTGTGTGCAGGGTCCACGCTGCCTCAGCACTCGGTGAGAGCTGTGGTCATTGGTCTCCTCTAGAGTGGTCTTTTACTCTGTCTTAATCTCAGTCCTGGACCTGACGCAGAACAGGCTGCTCAATAGAGGGTGGTTGAATGAGTGAAAGTTTAGAGCCAGGGGAGCCGTGATTGTGCGCTGGCTCCTCCCATCCTGTGACTTGGGGACCAGGTAAGGCGGCCAGGAAGGGAGGCTCATTGCCCAGTGTTGGCAGGTTTTAAAATGTAATCACCAAAATTAAATATGTGGTTATGTTTTTGTCGCATGAAAGAGAGTTTGTTTTCAAATGCAGCTGTGCCCCACTTAAGAGGTGAGGACTGCAGAGCTCTCATGACTCAGCAGGCCCTGAAGCAGTGTTTTGGGACAGGGCTTGGCATGGAGAAGCCAGTCCTGAACTTGCTGAGGATGGAACTGGTGTTGGGCTGAGGTCAGGTGGCCTGTGCCTTGGAGGGGAATGGTGATCCATAGAAGAGGGTCCTGTGCACTAGCGAGTCTTCAGATGTGCTTTGGAATCCAACAGACCATGGTTGGCCCTCCCTGTGCCTGGACCCTCTGGCATTCTCTGGATCCCAGTTTCCTTGTCTATAAAGTGGAGCAAGCACCTGCACCACTGGGCCGTCCTTGGGATTAAATGAGATGGAATGGGAAGCTGAATTGCGGGCAGCCAGCAGCTGTGGGGCTTGTGTTCCATGGCTCTGAGGATGGGGTGAGGGTGGGGTCTCCTTGAGCAGGTGGTGCCAGCTGCCTGTTCCTGGGAATCTCCTTCCAGCACTATCTGCATTGAGGCCTGTTCCTCCTCCCATGTCCACTTCCTTCCACCCTGGGACTGGCCTGGGCATTGACCACCTGGACCATCACTCCCCAGGAGTTCCTGAGCATCTGCCTTGTGCCAGGCCCAGGACCCTGAGGAGCAATAAGGATGAGAATGCCTTCAGGACATCCGAGCTACAGAGTGCTTTCTGTAAACAATCTTGGTTAATCCTCGCAACAAAAGCATCAGTTGGATCACATCCCTTCCCAGCTTCCCACAGGCCTTAGAATAAAACCCAAACTCCTCCTGTGCATGATCTGGCTCCTGCGGGTCTGTCTGCAGCTCCCTGTGCTCTGGCCACCCCTGCGATCTGGCCTTTCTCTGGAACATGGCAGGCCTGCTCCTGCCTCGGAGCCTTTGCACTTGCTCTTCTTCATATCTCAGCTCTTTGCTGGTGCTTGCTTCCCATCGGTTTGGCTCACATGTCATCTTTTGGGAGAGGTCTGCCCTGAGGACCCTCAATAGACATGCTGTGCTGTGTGGAGTCCCCACCATCTGAAGTTATCACTGTCTAATTCTTGTGTCTAACAGGGTATCGAGTGGAACTTTTCCTATTTTCCTGGAATTGCAGGCTAGGCCCAAAGCTGAGGACAAAAGACACAGAGTGCTTCCCCACATTTTATTTTTATTTATTTATTTTTTTAAAAAAGATGACCGGTAAGGGGATCTTAACCCTTGACTTGGTGTTGTCAGCACCATGCTCACCCAGTGAGCTAACCGTCCATCCCTATATGGGATCCGAACCCATGGCCTTGGTGTTATCAGCACTGCACTCTGCCGAGTGAGCCACGGGCCGGCTCCGCTTCCCCACATTTTAGAGTCAGGGAGCTACAAGCACCTGGGGCAGACCTGGAGGTGCTGTCTTGGAGTACTAGCTCTGCACTCACCCCCCTTCCTCTGCAGTGAACTTGAGGTGGGGGGCTTTAGGTGTGTGCAGTGTTTGTGATGAGAAATTATTCCCTCCCTTCTCTCCTGAGGCCCCGGGAAAATGGTTTACCAAGAGAACCGTCTACAACTGGAGGCACCTGTGCAGGCCCTCCTGGCTCCTTTGTGGCCGACCCGCTGGCTGTCTGCCCTGGCTGCAGGGGGCAGAGAGAGGGATGTACTGTTTGTGGTATGTCACCCTGAGGTCACCTGCTCTCCATCCAGTGAGCCCAGAGTAAGAGCTTAGCCCGTAGGTGTTGCTTGGGGACTGATAACCTGTGAGGAGGTGGGTATGATTTATTGTTCCATTTTACAGACAAGGCAGCTGCAGTTTGGGGAAGATGTGTGGCTTATCCAAGGTTCAAGAAAACAAGTGGCAAAGCTGGCCTTTGAGCCCAGGCCTGTCTGACTTCAAAGCTGGGTCGTTTCCCATGCTAGCTCCTGCCTCCCTGACTGTCTGGGCAGGACAAGGAGGTGGCCTCTGTCTCTATGCATGGCACCTCTGAGGAGGTGGGGGACTGTGGGAAACAGAGGAAGGTGTGTTTGCTGCGTGGGAACAGGTGTGGCTTATAATGTTGTCTGGCAGCAGCAAGCAACAGGTGGACTAACAGAGAGTCCTGCCACTGTAAAAACCCAAGGAGGCTCATGCCCATTCTTTCTTGTTTTTGATCAGTTTCTGGCCTCCCTTACTTCCCCATCCCAATGACCAGTTTAAAACATTTTAACTCAGTTGTAAATGTGTGTGTGTCAATGCAAAAGGAGGTTTTGAAGGGTATACAACAAAATGTTAATGGTAATTATCTTTAGATAGAAGGGGGAGTAAGATTAGAAGGGATAAAATAAACAGAACTCTGAATTTTTACAATCTGGTTTAATATTTTACTTTTTTGTGATTATGCATTTATATACATATCAATTGTGTAATAAAAAATCGTTTTACAGCCAGCTGCCAAAGCCAAAAAAATAAATTTTTTTCAAACCTAAGGAACCAACCTGGACCTGGTTTCTACAGATGTTTTAAGGAAATCATTACAAGCCTTGTTTGCTCAGCCCCAGAAACATCATGCTATCCCAGGGGGCTCCTTCAGGGTCTTCTACACATGTCCTTGCCTTGTCCCTCTGAATCCAGCATGTCCCTGGACCACTTGCTGCAGCAAATACAACTCTGGGTCTGCTTCTCCCTGAAGGAACTTTGCAAGGTGCAATAATCACTTTTGGAGTTTCCAGTTTAATATTCAACCTGAATCTGCAGCCAGTTGAGTTCTGCCCAGTTCCTGTTCTGTTTGTAAACATGTTTATTGCCCTGAGAAGGAGCTGGATGGGCTAGACAGGATGGACCTGGGGTCACTCCCAAACTTACTGGGCTCAGAGTCTAGAATGTAGGATTTAAACTCTGTAGATAACATACACGTAGAAGATTGTGCAGTATGGCCTGGTCCTGGCTGCGGGATGCGAACTGGCCTTGAGAACCAAGGAAGAGGGAACCCTCACTGCTTTCCCTCCCAGGACAAAGCAAATCAGTCACCTGCCTTAGAGTTCCTTCTGAGGAAGAAGGTACCAGCCCTAGCAGCATGCCTGGTCCTGCAGTGGGCAAGGCTTTTTTAGTGGGACATATTAAAATCAATTTAGTATGATTTTAATGTTTTTGTCAAAACTTGTTTTAGGGCCAGCCTGTGGCTCACTCGGTAGAGTGCGGTGCTGATAACACCAAGGCCACGAGTTCGGATCCCATATAGGGATGGCCGGTTCGCTCACTGGCTGAGCGTGGTGCTGACAACACCAAGTCGAGGGTTAAGATCCCCTTACCGGTCATCTTTAAAAAAAAAAAAAAAAAAAAAAAACCTTGTTTTAATTAATGTTTTCTATGGGGAAGACCCCTAGAAAAACAGTTTCAATGGGTATGTACCCAAAAGAATTGAAAGCAGGGATTCAGATACTTGTACATCCATAGCAGCTTTATTCACAGTAGCCACAGGATGGAATCAAACCAAGTGTCCATCAGCAGGTGAATGGGTAAACAGGATATAGTCTGTCTATATGATGGAATATTATCCAGCCTTAAAAAAGAAGGAAATTCTTATACTGGCCAGCCACCCCCCCTCCCCCCCAAAAAAAAAGGAACGAAAGTCTGACACTACAATGTGGATGAACCTTGAAGGCATTATGTTAAGTGAAAAAATCCAGTCACGAAAGGACATATACTTTCTGATTCCACTTATATAAGGTGCCTGGGAAAGTCACATTCATAGAAACAGAAAGTAGAATGGTTTTGTCAGGGGCTGGGGAAATGGGGGACTAGTGTTTAATGGGGGCAAAGAGTTTCAGTTTGTGAAGATGGAAACGTTTTAGCAATGGTGGGGATGGTTGTACAGTAGTGCGAATGTACTTAATGTCACTCAATTGTGCACTTAAAAATGGCTAAAATGGTAAATTACGACATGTTTATTTTACCATCCAGAATAAAGCACAGTACCAAGATGCTTTCTCTTCTTTATTTTGGTGGCTGGCTGTTATGGGGATCTAAACCCTGGACTTTGGTATTATCAGTATCGTGCTGTAACCAACTGAGCTAACCTGCCAGCCCCCTCAAGGTGTTTTCTCAAGACACTGTCTCACACATGTAGGTTTTACATTATAATTCCTTACTTTTCACTCAGTTTTTTAAAGTAGTATTTGATTTTTCTATTTTTAGATGAATGTTCTAGATGTAAGAGAAACTGGAATGGTCTGATCAATTACCAGAACTCACTGAAGCTGACACTGGTTTGTCTCTGGACATTTGAACCTCTCCAGCTGGAAAGGTTAGTCTGATGCGTGGGTGAATATTGCACTTTTGTGCCCAGGGCAGTAGCCTTTAGCAAAGGCAGATGTGAAATTGCATATCCAAAGCAGCAGACTTACGTCTTGCAACCTGTGTGCAGCAGCCTGTTACCCAGGGTTGCAGCACATCTTACCCATTTTTTTATGCCTGCTTGCGTCTCAAAAGTTGCCCGTCATGGAGAGACAACAACAAATCCCAATACTTCCGGCTCCTTTGGACCCCGGAGTGTCTAATGTTGAAGCTGCGACACCTCTGTTTATTTCTCAACTCTCCCTCTTTAACCACATCTGCTCCCCACCAGTGCCGCTCCTCTGGAGTTTCCTGCCTGAAACTTCACTTTCTTTTTTTTTTTCCTTTTTGTCTTTTTTACTGACCGGTAACGGGATCGCAACCCTCGGTGTTGCGCCCGCACTGCGCTCAGCCAGTGAGCGGGAACCGGTCTCCACATGGGATCCGAACCCTCAGCGGGAGCGCCACCATGCTCCCAAGTGGCGCACTCTCCAGTGCGCCACCGGGCCGGCCCTGAAACTTCACTTTCAAGCTGGCAATGTTAGAAAGTTAAGAGCTAGCTTCAGAATTTCAATCCAGGCACAATGGGACAGAGTAGGCATGTGTTTTCCTCATGAAACACAGCTGGTTAAAGGGCTGCAGCCACGAATTTGATCAATGGGACCTTCTTGACTGGCGGCTCCTTGTCAGAAGGTCCCTAGGCTGCAGGGTGGCGTTTGGGAGCCTGGGGTGGACCCCTGCCCTGCCCAGCAGAGAGTCTTCAGCAGGCCCAGGCTCTTGAAGCCCTTTGGGAATTTCTGTCTCTCACCTCTCGTTACTCAGAACCTGTGTGGCCATTACAGGAACTTCATCATCTCCAGAGTTCATAATGACTTCTTAGAACAGTCAGCTTATCTTAAACAGAAGCCCTTCTCTAATACTTAATAGAAAGATTAAAATAAAAATGTTGTCCTTTAAAATGTGAACCATCAAACACATGTACTAAACATGTTTTTTTAACCCTACAGGGTGTGGGATGATAGACAGGTTAGCAGCAAACCAGTGGAGAGGAGGCTGCAGGATTTAGCTGCTCTTTGCTCCCCTCCTAGCAGCCTGGGGCCCTCCTCCTGGGCATACGGGGCACGATGGACTCCCCGGGATACAACTGCTTTGTAGACAGAGAGAAGATGGACGCTGCTATCCAGGACTTAGGGCCAAAGGAGCTGAGCTGCATGGAGCTGCAGGAGTTGAAGCAGCTGGCCCGCCAGGGCCACTGGGCTCGTAGCTACACCCTGCGGGGAAAGGTGTACCAACGCCTGATCCGGGACATCCCCTGCCGCACTGTCACACCCGATGCCAGCGTGTATAGTGACATCGTGGGCAAGGTTGTGGGCAAGCACAGCGGCGGCAGCCTGCCCTTGCCCGAGTTCGTGGACAGCACGCAGGTGCCCAGCTACTGCCTGAACGCCCGGGGCGAGGGCGCCGTGCGCAAGGTCCTCCTGTGCATTGCCAACCAGTTCCCCGACATCTCCTTCTGCCCTGCCCTGCCGGCTGTGGTGGCCCTGCTGCTGCACTACAGCATTGATGAGGCTGAGTGCTTTGAGAAGGCCTGCCGCATCCTGGCCTGCAATGACCCCAGCAAGAAGCTGATCGACCAGAGCTTCCTGGCCTTTGAGTCTTCCTGCATGACCTTCGGGGACCTGGTCAACAAGTACTGCCAGGCAGCCCACAAGCTGATGGTGGCTGTGTCAGAGGATGTCCTGCAGGTGTACTCAGACTGGCAGCGCTGGCTGTTTGGGGAACTTCCCCTCAACTACTTCGCCCGCGTCTTCGATGTCTTCCTGGTGGAAGGTTACAAGGTGTTATACCGTGTGGCTCTGGCAATCCTCAAGTTCTTCCACAAGGTGAGGGCAGGGCAGCCCCTTGAGTCAGACAATGTGAGGCAGGACATCCGCATGTTTGTCAAGGACATCGCCAAGACGGTGTCCCCTGAGAAGCTGCTAGAGAAAGCATTCGCCATCCGCCTCTTCTCCCGCAAGGAGATCCAGCTCCTGCAGATGGCCAACGAGAAAGCTCTGCAGCAGAAGGGCATCACTGTCAAGCAGAAGAGGTAGGCAGGCAGGGGCCCTGGTAAGCAGTGTGTGGCCCGCGTAAAAGTGGGCACCTCTGGGGGCATGCATCCTGGGGGGTTGTCAGCCTCTTGGTCTGCCTCTGGCCATCTGTCTAGACATCCACTGTCCATGTGTGGGTAGAAAGACACTAGAGGCTGGCCGGATAGCTCAGTTGGTTAGAGCGCAGTGTTTGGGTCAAGAATTCAGATCCTTGTACTGGCCAGCTGCCCAAAAAAAAAAAAAAAAAAAGTAGAAAGACACTGGAAAGCAGGAAAGGCCTTCCTGGTTATAGCCATGGGCCAGAGTCATCAGGTTCCATCCTCAGGGACTGAGACCCACAGCTGAGATGGAAGCTAGACACCAAGCATGGGTCAGAAGGCCCGGCAGGGCCAGGCTCGCCTCCCAGGGCACTGCAGAGTAGCCCCTGCGCCTTCCTCTAGCTCCAGGCTCCAGGGCTGGTTTTGGTCATAGCTGCCGGAAACAGCCTTCCTGCTCTGAGTGCAGCCCCTGGGGAGCAGGGCTGGGAAGGGTTGTGGTGTCCCTAGGCTGTGATTGTGTCCTAGGCGTGGCCTGTTGGTACGGAGTCCTCTGTCTCCTGGGCCAAGGAAAGCACAACTGGGGATTCCTCCTTACTACTAACCTTTCCTTGTCTGTTTTATTTTTCTTCTCCATGTCCGTTGCTTCCTCCTGTTTTTCAGTGTTTCGCTTTCTAAAAGGTAGGTCTGAAACCATGTCTCACGCCTGGCACCTGTCTTTCTGCCTGGCTGTCTGTGGCCGGCTGCTTGCTGCTTCCCAGAGTCTGCTGGCTCTCATGGCCTGGCTTCAGCAGTGCTGCCTGTGCCTCACTGACATCTGTCTGTCTGTCTGCCTGTGCTTGGCTGGCCCTGAAGCCCTGTCTTGCCAGAGCTGACTTGATTTCTGTCCTAATATTTTAGAGAAAAGCTGCTTTTGTGCCCCCAAGGCTGAGTGCTCTCTCCTCTCTAATGGTGTGGGAGGCGTGGCTCCTGGGGATAGCTCCACCCTGTTCCTTCTGTCAGTGTCTAGAACCAGGATCTAAACCTGGCTGGATAGGTGAGAAGTTCCCTCCAGGCTTAGTTCCAAAGAGAGGCTTTGGGGCACACCTCAGGATGGGGAGTGGTCAGGGCCCTGGTCCCCAAAGACTCTGACCTCTCCCTGCTCTCCCCAGGCAGTTTGTGCACTTGGCTGTCCACGCTGAGAACTTCTGCTCAGAGATTGTCAGTGTGAAGGAGATGAGAGACATCTGGTCCTGGGTCCCTGAGCGGTTTGCCCTCTGTCAGCCCCTCCTGCTCTTCTCCTCGGGACAGCACGGGTACAGCCTGACCAGGTAGTGCTGCGGGAGGCTGCATGGTGCTGGAGGGGCTGGGGGAGCTCTGGAGTTTGTGTCCTGCTCGCCACTTCCAGGAGGTCACAGTCATGGCTGGATATGGGCCTTGGAACCTGGGCCCCTGGCAAGGCCCTGCCTCTTCTTGTGGGGCCCAAATCAGGAGCCCCTTTTCTGGGCTTCTGTCATTCTCAGGCCACCCAGACTCTGGGGGTCTTTGCTGTGCATGCCACAGCAGGGGGCCCCGTGTAGGCATCGCGAAGACTTTCAAAAGACAGACTTCCCACCTCAGGAGCTTCCAGAATTGTCAGGGGAAACCTATGGGGGCGACAAGGCCTGGCTTCGCTTACTCCCTTCCCTCTACCACGTAGCCACACAGCCTGGCCCCACATGGGGTTGTATCTGTGCTGGCCCCAGCCAGATGGCTCCTGACCAGCCATCCCCTACATCCTGGCAGGGGGCCCCCCAGGGCACCCTGCTTCCTGACGCAGCTCCGCCAGGCGCAGCTCCCTTGAGCCTCAGATAGCTGGTGACCCAGCAGCAGTGATGCAGGCGGAGCTGGCTCAGCCCCCTCCTGGGCACTATCTGCAGCCCCGCAAGCGTTCTGGCATAGCTAGAGCTGCTTCACCTACCCACCCCCACCCCTGCCAGGGACACCAGCCAAGCTCTGGGTGCCACGTTGGCAGCCTCGGGCTTCCCATGTGGCCCGGCTCCCCACGGCAAGCTCCTAGGACATGCTGAGCTCTCTGACAGTGGGGACTTGTTCCTCTGGTTTTGGCTTCCCTGTAACATCTGGCACTCACCAGCCTGTTGGGGGCTGTCTGGTGCAAGGCTTCTCTCCTGAGACGTACCAGGGTTCCAGGACAGCTGAGGAGGGCCAGGGAAGAAAAGTGCTTGGGTGAGGGCGTGGTCTGGGTCTCGGCCACTGTGTCTGGTCTCTGGGAAGAAAGCCCATTCCCAGGCCTCTCCACCACCACATGGCCTGGGTTGAGGATCTGCGAGGCTGGTGAGAGGCGGCAGGGGAGGATGTTCAGGCAGCTGCTGCCGTTGGGGCTTGCACATGTGCTCTCTCTGCCCCTAGGTTTTACTTCCAGTGTGAAGGACACGAGCCCACCCTCCTGCTCATCAAGACCACGCAGAAGGAGGTGAGGAGAGACCTGAGGGAGCCAGGGTCCCGCCTTTCATGAGCTCTGGGGAGTCTTTGGCTCCCTGGGTGATGCCAGAATCAGTGCGGGTATGGCCTGCATGTGGAGCTCGTTCCCATGCTCGAGGGCCATGGAAATATCCTGGAAGCAATCACCTACCCACCTTCATTGCCGCCCAAGCCCTGGCGGGAAAGGGGTGCACCCACCCCTCACTCTGCCCTCCCTAACTCTGCTCCTGCCCACAAGTGGTGGGCACTGTGACACGCTGTACCCCCATCCATGCCCATGACACAGCCCTCAGCAGGTCTGAGCAAGGGGATGCTCCTGGGATTTGGAAGGCGCAGCCTCATCATAGGCCTTCCTCCCCAGGTGTGTGGAGCTTACCTGTCAACAGATTGGAGTGAGAGGAATAAGTTTGGAGGCAAACTGGGCTTCTTTGGGACTGGAGAATGCTTCGTGTTCAGGGTGAGTGGGGCTGAGTGCAGCCCGATGTGGGCCCAGCAGCTATAGTCCTCCTCGACTGGCACCAGTGCTCCTTGGTGGGGCTCAGGAGTCAACAAGTGGCTCCCTGTTTTGTTCTGGTCTTGGCGGTTACCCTGCAGGGTCATCTCCTCACTTACTTCTGGGTTTCACTATTAGACCATGAGCCCATGAGAGCAGGCAGGTCTTACCTGCCTGTGTTGCTGGGGCCTCACCCCCAGCAGGCTCTGGAGGAAGATTTTTGGGGTGAAAATAGGCCATGGCCTGGGGGGCAGAAGGGGCCAGTGGGCTGCATGGGTCAGCTCCTCGTATGACCTTTCACCCTCAGCTGCAGCCCGAGGTGCAGCGCTACGAATGGGTGGTCATCAAGCACCCGGAGCTGAACAAGCCGACATCCTTCATGTCCTCGGAGGCCACCATCACCCCTTCCCTGTTCAGCCACTCGGTCTCCTCAGAACCCCCTGACCGCCTCTCACCGTTCCTAGCTGCCCGTCACTTCAACCTGCCCTCCAAGACTGAGTCCATGTTCATGGCTGGAGGCAGTGACTGCCTCATCATTGGTGGGTCCTGCGAGGGCAGAGGAGACCCTGGCATGAGGGGCGGAAGGAATGGGCTGGGAAGCAAGGGCCAGGCCTGGGGGCTTTGGAGAGTTGAAGGTCAGACTGTGGTCATAGAGGCCTCTGGCAGGGGAAGGACAGCTGAGACCTGTGGCTTCCAGTGGAGCAGCAGGAGGGGATGCCCAGGGTGTTGGGGTGCAGGGGCAGCTGCTGATTTGCACATCCTGCAGGGGGAGGTGGAGGCCAGGCGCTCTACATTGATGGGGATCTGAACCGGGGCCGCACGGGCCACTGCGACACCTTCAATAACCAGCCACTCTGCTCCGAGAACTTCCGCATTGCTGCCATTGAGGCCTGGGGCTTCCAAGACCCCGACACCCAGTGACCACCTGCGTGGACGGTGACTGAGCCACTGCCATGGGTGGTGGGGCGGAGGCTGGCCACTGCCTCAGGGAGCTGGGAGTGAATGAGACCTCCCCAACATGGCGGGCAGGGGTGGGGTGCAGCTGGTGTGTGGGACGGATAGGGGCACCTCGGCCTCCCCTGTCCAAGCCTGGCCCTGCTTGGACTGACTGCTGTGTCTCCTGGAGTCAGGCCCAGCCCCTGAGCCCACCTGCTTCTGAGTCAGAACCTGAGCTAATGCAGTTCCCTCCCAGCCCTGCCCAGCACTGCCTGGTGCAGCCATAGAAGGCTCCTTCCTCCCCACCCAGGGCCCTGGCGCTTTCCCTGGAGGTGTCCTGTGTCCTCAGGCATAGGGGTGGGAGCTATGGGGGGCTACATCTTACAGCCCCTGGGCTGCCTCCTGGGAGACTTAGCCCCTGATGGGGGGGGTTGCGATCCATTGCCGGACACGAAAAAAGACAAAAAGGAAAAAATAAATAAATAAATAAATAATAAATAAATAAATAAGATGTGACCCAATCAAAGGACCATCAACATCAGAGCTAGGAGAGAATTTAGAACTATTCCATCAACACAGTGGCCACTAGCTATGTGTGGCTATTTAGGTTCACATTAATTCAGTTCCTAAATAGCACTAGCCATCGTATAACTTCGTATAATGTATGCTATACGAAGTTATTACGAAGCATGGGTCTGTGGTGCCCCCTGCTGGTGCTGCATGGCATCTTGTCCTCCCGAGAAGGTCCCTGCACGCCTGGCTGGTGACTAGCCACTGTTCGTGTGTGGAGACTGAGAAGAGACTGCCGCCCCTGGGACTGCTCCCCAGCACCCCACTCCCCGCCCAGGAGCATCTGACCTGCTGCTGACCCAGTTCCCTGCTCCCACAGGCCTCCGGTGGCCACCTTGCCAACAGTGAGCTCGCTTGGTCCACTCTGAAGCTCCACTGCAGGGTGGGAGAGAGCAGGATTTATGCTGACCCCCAGGGAGGGCCTAAGGCCAGTGGGATGGGGCTGGAGGGGACGTCGCATGTCCTTGTGTTTCTGCAGAGCCTGAAGCTTCTGCCAGGCCTTGCCACATGGCCACACCTGAAGAGGTGGCCCCAGGAGCGGCCCTCTGTGACCAACCCCCAAACCAGTTCCATTTCCAGGGGTGTGCCTGGAGAAGCCTGGACCCACAGGGGCTTCTCAGCCATTCTTCTCTCCAGCCTGGGGCCCAGGGTCACGTCCAGACCCCTCAGTGTGCCATGCTTGTCTCAGTCCAGCCCTGCACACCCGGGCTCCTGGGGCAGGCACTACACCCTCCCTGGGTCCCTGCCCACATAGCACCTCCTCGACTCTGTGTCCTTCTCATGGTGCTTTCGCTGGCCACATGTCATGGCGTTCTGTGTGCTGCAGCCTATTCCCTTACAGCTCCCTGCCCTGCCTGAGCCTGGCAGCAGCCTGGCACACAGTAGCTGCCAAGGAAAGGCTTGCCGTTGAGCACTGCAGGGAGCGGCCCCCACCCTGTGACATCCCTCAGCTGGTCTTGAGTGTCTGGGCACCACGGAGGGAAGAGGGGAGAAGCAGAGACCCGTTTGTCTGTGCTGTGTCTGTGGAGGCCTGGGCCACAGACACAGGTGCTAGGGTCGGCCCCAGCCCGGTCCCCACTTGGCTCCAGCCAGCACCCCTGCTGTCCCCAGGCGCCACGCCACCACCCATCTCCATACTGTTGCTTACTTGTTCTGGGGGGTTCATCCTCTCTCGCACATCTGCTCATTTCACCTCTGAGCAGGGGCCACAGTGGTGCAGAAGGAAGGACCAAGAACACTGTGTGTCTTTGGGCAAGCTGATAAACTCATCTGGAACCCAGTTTCCCCAACTGTGAAATGGGGCCAGTCGTCCTGCCCTGCTGTCCTCACAGGATTGTTGAGAGGCTCCCAGGGGGACAGCATGAGTCTCTCTCAAGGGAAGAGGTGCTGGGAGGGGTGTGACCGCTCACTCCCCACAGACCACTGCAGCCTTTGCACTGCTTTTGCTGGTACTGCCAACCTTGCTGTTCATTAAACGTGGTCTCGTTGCATTGACTCCAGGCATCCAAGTCTGGTCTTTTCAGCCAGAGGGACCTCCAGGGGCTTCCCCGGGGCCTGCCACAAAATCCAGTACAGAAGGCCCCCCACCGCCATGCTGACTGATGCTTTATCACTGGGATGGCGAAGGCCTTTTAAAAACATAGCCTTTTGGGAAGAAATGAAGTGAAATGTCAGCACTGTGTAGAGGGCTCCCTGTGCAAACTTCCTGAACTGGGAGGTTATTTTTCTGGTAAATCCAGCACGTTCTTTGTGACTGCCCTGAGGGGTCCCCACCTGGGCCTTCCTGGGGAGGCCAGTTGCTACTTAAGTCATGATCTCTACATCATGAGTGAAGTTCTTTGCTTTGTGAGAGCATTCAAAATACTTGGTTTCTTTAAATTTAACATCTTCTTTTTTCTAACCTTCCTACTAACCTAGAGGGTATGTGTGATTATTATCTTTGTTTTTTATGCTTAGCATTGCCCTTATTATCTGATACTGGATGTTCCCAAATAGAACATAATTTATTTTAGTTTTCTCTATTGTTTCTTCTTGATTATTTATTAGCCTTTGATGTTAAATATTAGCCAAAATTTGGTGGCATTGCATAATGAATTATTTGTGTTTTTTTTAGAAACACTTAAATGTTTATTTTAAAAACAAAAAGTTGAACCTAATTTAAACCAGCTCGTTAAAACTAAGTGAATTTGTTAAAGCAGACTAGATACCTTTAGAGCTTCAGAAAATCAATTTTAAAAAATAATTTATGAGTAAGTCATTTGCATTTTATGAATTTTTCAGAGTTTTAATTATCGAACTAAAATTAATATTTCATTTTATTCTTTTTGTAAGCTGCATGCTTAGTTTTTTCAGTTTTTCAGTGCAGTTTGTTTTAAAACATTCTGAGGACTTCAGACAGACTTTAAATTTCTCTTATGCATTTCCTAAAGCCATGAAGCCTTTAGTCTCCTTAAGTACTTTATATTTAATAGTTGAGTTTTCATACCTTTTCATTTTGAAGTAATTTTTGATTTGCAGAAGAGTTGTGGAGATGGTACAGAGTCCGCTAATGTTAATATCAAAGCAAAAAAGTTAACATTGGTGCAGTGTTGTTAACTACAGACCCTATTCAGATTGTCTCAATTTTTCCACTGTCCGGAATAGATTTAGTTTTATATATATTTCTCACATTTTTACTAAATCCACAATGTCGTCAAACTTACAAGACTAACAGTGGTCAAAAACATTTTTCTGACACTAGTTAGGCAAGATAGCGATTATCTCAAATTTGGATTCATTTGCATTCTCGATAGTTTTCTTCCTTGGCCTAAATGTCTTGTTTGCATGGAGAAGTTATCAAAGGAAGCAGGAGTGCTGAGTAAACCACACAGGCACCTCACCCCACAACATCTATGTTAGGCAGAAAGGTGTCTGACTTTAAAAAATAATCTGATGTAAAGAGGGTTTTTTTTTTTGTTTTTTTTTTTGTCTTTTTTCGTGACCGGCAACGGATCGCAACCCTCAGTGTCGCGCCCGTACCGGACCGGGACCGGCTACGGGATCGCAACCCTCGGTGTTGCTCCCGCACCTCATTCAGCCAGTGAGCGGCAGGTCTGTATGTGGGATCCGAACCCTTGGCGGGAGCGCCACCGCGCTTCCCAAGCGGCGCACTGTAGCAGTGCGCCACCGGGCCGGCCCTAAAGAGGGTTTTTTTATGACCATTATATCATCAGATTGTGTTTGAGGAGTTAGGTACAATGTCGTGTGATTCATTGCTACAGACAGAATTCCTCACGCTTTTGCAGTCACTCATTTTACCAACCTGTGAAGTTCGTCATCGCTATGCTTGGCACCAAGGAAGCAAGGTCAGTGAACACATTGTCATGTGGACCACGCCACCTAACAAAGCCTTCTGTTGCAGATTGCTGGATGCACAGGTGTGTTACCTGGCTGCTCAGCTTCACCAGAGAAGGCCGTTTTATCCACAGTGAGGTGCTCCTGGCTGGAGGGGGCCTGCAGGTCTGATCTTGCCCAGCGATAGGGAAGCTGACGCAATCCCAGGGGCCTGGCCCGTGTTCCCTCTTCACGTGAAGAAACAGGAGCAGACCTCTGCTTTGTGTAGTGCTGACGCACACTGACTGTCAGAGGACATGTTTGGTCAAAAACTGATGAGCTAAACCTTGAAGAGAAAAAGCTGTGTGGATAAATTTACCTTTTAGTTCTTGTGAAGGATGATTATGGGCTTTGAGAAATGGTTTAGTGGATTGACATTTTGGAGCATCTGAATGAATGGAATAAAAAACATACTGATGTGTAGCGAGCAAATGTGTGGATGTGCAGCGAAATGCAACTTTGGAAAAGTGAAAATAAGGGGTGTACTGAAATGCTTGGTCAGTGTTAATTTGAGTCCTAAATAAAATTGATGAGAACTGGTAGAAATCACTGCGGAATACTTGATATGGAAAAGTGCAGTGGGATGGGAAATCCAGAGTGCGTTGGCTCCAGGGACGACAGCTTCCATCTGTGAAGGAGGAGAGGGATGCCCCAGATTAGGAATTGAAAAGATGCCTTGGCTAATGGCGGCAGTCCACAGGGAGAAGCTTATTCCATGTCATGGAGGAGACAGGTGCGTATTCTGAGGTGCTTGCTGCCACCGCCTATGCAAGCCATGGCTTCCTGATCAGTTTTGTTTTCTTCTGTTCCCAGCGCCTATCGTTTGGCCAGGCTCAGTAAATGGTGGAGGATGCAGAGGAGCTGCTGTCGGGAATCGTCAAATATCTCAAGGATTGCATGCATCCCTGGCATGTGTACAACTCAATATCAAAAACCAAACTTGTGTTTCTCATTTAAAATGAAACTTTTTTGGGATCCTCATACTGGCCAGCCGTCAAAAAAAAAGAAAAAAATCAGAAGTTTACATAAGTCATTTGTTTTTCCCAATACCCTGTATTTTAATTGTGTATCTATATAATGAAAAATAGACCTCCTTTTTCTCGAGCCCCATACAGATGTCTCTGCCCTGTCCAGTTCCTCCCGGGGAGGTTGGGGGATGCCCCTATCCTTTCTTCCTGCACCTGCTCCCGTGAAACTGCTTCTACCCACTCTTGCCTGTCCAGCTTCTCATCCCCACACCGGCCATGAGGAATGATATGTGCTGTTGTGTATCTCTTCCTTTGCTGCTTCCTAATGCAGACGCTATTTACCTTCACCTTCAGGTGATTGCTGTGGGTGTGATGGCAGTCAGGAGGTCTAGCCCAGGTTTGGGAAGTCCTGGTCTCCTGGGCTGGAGGGAGGCTTGGACCCCAGCACAGCCACATGCTCTCTGGTACCAGCTTTTTTTCAGTTCCTCTGATGAACCCACAGCCTCTGCTTCGGGGCCTTGCTTTCGCACATGCTGTTTACCATCTCTTGTGTCTCAGCTCCAAGGCTTAGTGCCCCTTCCCAGGAGATTTCCTAAGACCCCCACCAAAGCTGGCTCTTCCTCTCTGATGAGGCTTCGTAGCACTTAAGATGACAGGCACGCTGTTTGCCAGTTCTCCCATTCCCCCATCCCCCCATGCCCAGACTGCCGGCCCCTTAAGGGCAGGAGCAAGGGATACTACAGAATGGACAGAAGCCCCCTGTGGTCCTGAGGGTGTCACTCATGGTGTGTTCCTGGGGCCTGTGGCTGGAGGACCTCACAGCGTTCCCTGCAGTAACGTCTTCCTCTTACTGTAAGTGCTCAGGACCATCTTGTGGTTGACATTGAGACATAGGCCAGAATTGGGCAAGACCTGTTCCTGAGCGGGGAGTGGAGAATGCCCTGGCCCGGGAAGGTGAGGGTGTAGAGTGGTGTATGTTCACAGTGTCTGCTGGAGCTTGACCTGTAGGGCACCCCCTCCCACTACCCCCATCACCAGCCTTCATGCAGTCCCCTTTTAGGTCATCTGTCTGTGGCCAGTGTCCCAGTGTGCATCCCCCATCCCCAGCCTGCTATGAAACTGCTTTGTTTTATTGTCTTTTTTAAAAAATTGAAGTAAAATTTCTGTAACATACAATTAACTTTTAAAGTGAACACCCTAGTGGCATTTACTGCATTCACAATGTTGTACAACCACCAGCTCTATGTAATTCCGCAACATTTTCACCACCTCAAAAGGAAACCTCGTCCCCATTAAGCAATTGTTCCTCATTCCTCCCTGTTATGTGGCTTTTGAATAGGTAAAATGTGCACCTAGTAGAAAATTAATACAATAAGGAATGTACGCAGTGGGAAGTCTCATTCCTGTCGGGCCTCTCAGACCCCCCAGCCCCTCCGTAGGGCATGCACTTGCCAGCGTGTCTGTTTCCAGGTAGCATACCTGTGTGCTCTTCACCCTGCTTCCTGTTGCTTAACTGTGCCTTAGGAGTCGTTCCAACTGCTTAAGTGTCACTAACAGCTGCCCAGTGCTGCATGGTTGGAATGGTCTGTGATTTGTTTAAATACAGACTGGATCGTGTCTGTCTCCTGCTCAAAACACTCTTCACCTTTTTTTTTTTTTTTTTTTTTTTTTTTTTGACCGGTAAGGGGATCGCAACCCTCGGCACAGTGTTGTCTGCACCACACTCAGCCAGTGAGCGCACCGGCCATCCGTATATAGGATCTGAACCTGCGGCCTCAGCACTACCAGCGCCACACTCTTCTGAGTGAGCCACAGGACTGGCCCACCTTTTAAGACCTAATTCAGAGGTCACCTCTTCTGGGGACCCTGTGAGCTGGCCCCAGCCCATCTTCCTTTGTACCACCTCTGCACCTAGTAACTGTTTCTGATCTGGTATGGGCCAAGACGTTTGGGGTGTTACTGCTCCCCTGGTTGGCTGCCAGCTCTTGGAGGGTAGGGACTGTCTTACCCATCTTTGTATCCCCAGAGCCTCACTTAGTGCCTGGCACCTAGTAGATGCTCCATAAAAGCCGAGGGAATGGATTAGGGCCTGAGGCAGGCAGACAGGGCAGAGTTGTGAACCCTGACTGGTGGAGTGTAAGGAGTTGGTACTGGCCTTCAGGGAGCAACCGCCAGACCAGACATGGGGTCAGTCAAGGGCAGACAGGGCCCCTTCTGGCCATCCAGAGCTGAGGATTTATCCAACGCCCCTTCTGAGAACCTGCTCCCTGTGTGCCACGTTCAGCCCCAGGCACTGGTTTACTATAAAGCAGCAGGATTCTCTCTTCCTTCCGACCTGCTGGGGCACAGAGCTGCACACTGCCTCCTGGTGGTCAGGGCTGGCCCCTGGCTCCCTGCCTGCCTCATCAGGTCCTCAGTGAGAACAACAAAAATAACCAATCAGGCCCTTTTTCATCAATCCTCAGAGATCGGAGTCAGTGAGGAGGGGACTGCCCCATCCCTGGGATCATCCCAGTCGTCTGCCTCTAACCTCTTGCCCTTCTTGGTGCCTGACATCCAGTTGTGTAGCTTGGGGATTTGAAGTCACCCCTTCTCCCCACTAACTGTGCCTGAGGAGCCTCCTTGTACCAAGTGATGGTGGGTGCCGGATCTTACTTGTGCCACATTGTATTTACGTATAT